CTGACTCTGGCTGAATTCTACATAGCTATGTAACTAGTATCGAAAATCCGTCATCAGCGGGACTCGAACCTTAAGACCACTTGACCAGAGTCGCTGTAGTGAGAACTGCTGAGCTAGCAGCCGGTGCAGGACGAGATAGATTTGGACCACTTTGGCGGGTTAGGAGAGATGTGTTAAGACGGAACGAGGAACACGTAGATGGCGTGGGCGCGTCGGATCCACCTACAACAGTCGGGATGGGTGGATGAGAATGCGCCGGCGATCGGCGTATCAAGCGAGGCGGACGCGTCGTAGAGAATTGGGGAGTGGCGGGGGGACGTCGGGGGAACGAGGGGACGGGGGGACGGGGGACGGGGGAAGGGGGGACGGGGGAAAACAGGGGGGGACGGGGGGGGGGGGGGGGGGGGGACGGGGCCGGGGGGGCTCGGGGAGGGGGGACGGGGGACGGGGGGGGACGGGACGGGGGGGACGGGGACGGCGGGGGGACGGGGGGCGGGGGACGGGGGAGACGGGGTTAGTTGCAGCCAGACTGCCGAAAACAAAGGTGGCGTTCCCCAACGCCCCAATCCACCTGTCTGCACGTTTCAGTCGGAACTTGACGCTATTTTGTTTACGCGCAGCCCGGCCGAGTGAGGCACGTGCTGGGGCACGTGGAGAGGAGGCGGGGGGGGAAAAGTTGACGCGGAAAGCGGAAGTTTCTCGCAACAGTGGAAGGTACGAAGTCGGGAGGAGAAACCATTTAACGAAAAAGTGATTAAATTGAAAACCGCAGAGAAAAAAATCTGAACAGTTTTCTGACAGAAAATCTGACTTCTTTTAATTAATGTATTACATTAATGACGTTAATAAATGTTAATGATAATAATAAGAGCAAAAAAGAAGAGAAAACAAATATTGAAAGGAAAATTTAATAAATATTTATCAATTCAGACAGTAGACCAAGACGAAACTCTTGGAAGAGAGAATGTCCCCACGACAACTTACTAGCGATATTACTGTATAACTGGCTAGCGATATGGCTACTTGACTTTAAAATACGCGAAAGTAATACACGTCACACTATTAGTAGTGTCTTGGACTTTCTTGTAATTTGGTTTACAAATTAATAATAATTATAATTATAATAATAATAATAATAATAATAATAATAATAATAATAATAATAATAGTCACAAAAATAAGTTACTCAAATTAATTCAAGACACGAGTACCTTCTGTAAATACATACCTAGGAATATGCTTGAAACTGAGGAACACCATCTTCACTATAAGGCTCAATAACCATTTGTACAGCCACTGCAAACTGAAGTCAACCTCATTGACGGAGTCATTTGAAGAATCTGAAAGAGAAGTATGGTCCACTCGCTGAAAAGGTACTGGCACGTGAAACATATCAAAGATGGTTCTTAAAGTCGGGGCGATGATAGCTTGAAGAGAGCGAAAATCAGTTGAGGAGAATGGATATAGATGTTCTCTGTTTAATGTAATAAATAGTGACATTTTGGCCTTCCGTAAGTTCTTAGCGACTTATTTTTTTATTCCTGCACACCAAAATATAATGGCAACTGTATTCCTGCAGAAATTTAATATTAGCCTATTTAACAAACTGATAATTATATAATAGTTTTCTTTATATTTTAGTACAACGGAGTAAGCATTAGGTCTGTACCCAAAATATCCGCCTTCATTACCCTCTGATGAAGCTGAATTCCGAGTGCACGTGTCAGACGCGTGGCCCAGAGTGTTTCAAGTAGATTGCGCGCATCATATTGTCTCTCTGATGAAGTTTGACATTAAGAAGTTCCTTAGTTCCTGGAGGAGAGGAATCTGACGCGCTTTGAAAAGACAGCCTCCGTCTGTGAGGAAAGCTCGAGGGAAGTTGCTTCAGTAGAGAAGGGTGGAGATCCGTGACAATGAAACTGCGACGAGAAGGTCCTTAAAGTAGATGGTCGATTATCAAACTGCAATTCGCCCACTGGTAAGGTGCGAGTCGTACCGGATTTTGGAACAGGTGTGTGTTTGGTATTTGAGTGATTAGGGATCCGGGCGCATCGACTGCCAAGATCATTAGTTCCGTAAGTGTAGTGCATGTTTTTGTCGAGAGGTGGCGATGATTGTCACCGGTTGAATGATGAGAACCGGCGTCGACCTACCTGCCACCTAGCGGGGTTTTCCTCATCCAGAAATCTGCCACCAGCGGGGCTCCGCTCCCAGCCGGGACAAGCTTTAAGCTCCCAACCTGTCTCCCGGCGTGTGTGGCAGTGTAGTGCATGTTAGTGTGAGTGTGTGTGTGTGTGTGAGGGTGAGGATAGGACAAGGAAGAGGAAGGAACGATCGCGCGCAGTTCGTGGCCCGTTTGTTAGAGTACCGCTCCGGCTTGCGCCTGATGTTGATCGGAGAAACAACGGAATCAGAAACATAGTAGGTATTTGAGTGATCGAAATTTAAAAAAAAAAATATTCTCTGATCTCATTTTTCATACTACAAAAAAAGCTATCGAGGAGAATTCTCCAAGACGTTATTACTCCATTTTCTTGTTCACATGCCTCCGAAATCGTCCAGCCAATCCGCAAAGAGACGCGAGAACTGGCGGCCCGGCCATGGAAAGGCAATGAAAGCTCGGAGTGCGTTTCAACAAAGTCCAGGCTTTCGAGGATTTGCACACGCCAATATTTCACGCGATTCGAAAGCCTGTGTTTTATGTCACTGAACGAGGGGACGCAGCTAATCTGATGAGCTCTAATGCACTTTTTCCCGCCTGCCCGCCCGCTCTGGCAGTAACAGCGCGTCCCGGCCGGGCGGCGAGCGCGCTATAATAAATCAGGGCAATATACAGATGCGTTTGTTGCCTCTTATTGATTTTTTTTTTCGGGGGTCAAAACAGATACTGCTACTTCCTATATCTCGCTCGCTAGTTTCTAGATCGGAGAATGTGCCGTAGGCTTACATACTATGTCTTCATCTCAATGGTAAACCTAAAGACTGGCTGTGATAGCTCAATGAAATCAACCACCATGGAAAATAATTCTAGCTACTGTTTGCTCTCACCGATAGTTTTTTAAGTTTTCCGTGATCTCTACCAGACGAAAGCCGGGACATTACGAAAACAATATGGCAACGGACTTCACATGGTCCTTCCTCGAACATCCTTATCCTCTCGTTTTCCTTTACTCATACACTTAGCCACACTAAACAGCCACACATGCCGGAAGACCTGACGGGAGGTTAGAGCTTACCTTGGCTGGGGCGATGCTCTAATTAGGAAATACCGGAATATAGAAAATGATCTAATTAGGGTACAAATCCGCGATCTGATATGTAGATCGGCGCAGGATATCACATTTCAGGGAAGGAGGAAGCCCGCCACCTCTCGGGATATAATATGCACTACACTTACAAAACTAATGACATCAATTGATGTCATAACCGATAACAATACTCGCTCACTCCGCTTCTAGGGGTAGAGTTGGGACATGAGAAGGAAGGATGGAATGTGAAATTTTTTTCATATAGTGATCTGGCAATCCGGCATCTGCCTGGAAATGATCGGAGAATATATATATATATATATATATATATATATATATATATATATATATATGTGTGTGTGTGTGTGTGTGTGTGTGTGTGTGTGTGTGTGTGTGAGTGTGTGTCTGCCAATTATTATTTTCGCTGTGTTCCCTCAGCCCAATCCAGTCTCTAAGAGGAACGTCGGATACTTTCTAAATTAGGAGAGTTGCATCATGAGAATAGTGATGCGGCCCACCCCCGAGCACTAAAAGTGAATGCGGTCAAGTTGGTGATAGAATAACCGTCTAAGATCCGTGGCTCATTGGTGAAGGTTATTCTTCACCTGTAGGATGGAGATGATTGGGGGAAACGAACGGTGAAGGTAGTTTTTCTAGTTAATTCTATTCCTTGCTGTTGTCGATTTGTCCTCACTTTTTAGCTGTTGGAAAAATTGTACTATCACTGGAACGTATTCTAAGAACTCCCTGTCTGAGAACCAGCAGTTAGGAATTTTATTTTAGCACCGTATCAGTGATATCTCTCGCGTATGGAATTTCCATTTTCACCCTTTACCCGCACATCTATATAAAGGGAAAAATACGCAAATATTTGAGATTCAGCTCATTTCTGATCACATTTTCCAGAAGAGTGAACGCACACGTAAATGTAATATTTGATACCAATTGGCTTCAAGAAATAAAACTCAAGGCTCCGATCCTTGAAAACCAGATTATAACATCCTAAAACGCGCCGATTTCGAGTTATTCTCGATCAATGTGTCAGAGAAGGCTATTAAGTTGAAGATGTATTGTGATATTTTTTTATTTTTCTTGCTACACTACATACTGCAATTCTGGATGTTGTGATATACCTCTAATATTAAAACCATAGATTCTTTTTTTCTCACTTCGAACCCTTGTGAGTCAACACGGGGGTTATAATAAATCAAGACTAAATACAGCTCGTACGTTTGGTGCTTCTTATTGATTTTTCATCCCATAAAAATATCCCCAAAGCGAGCAGCATTGCGTTCTGTGGAATTATTGTTTGCGTGCGTGACGGCAGGGAAAGCAAAGCGCAAACACTGCCAACACACACATTGGCGACGTGTATGCCCACGCAGTAACTCGAGAGCCTGCTAAGAATTGGATTATGTATTATTTGTCCATGTGCACAGCGTGGAACCATCGGTGGAACAAGGCAAATTCAATAATCAGAAATGTTTCTGTTTTCTCAAAAAGGATTTATTAATCACAATATGTACACCACAAGCAGCTTTCGCCTCATTACATGAACGCATATGTCATGTTTTATTGATAACTTTATAAAAGCGAGAACGAGAAGAAACAAAAGTGAGCTGACTAGCGTTCATATACGAAGTTAATTTACACTGTCCAATATTAACTTACTTTGCGAGAAGTTAAGGCAATGTGCACAATCTACCGTAGCTTTCCTTGCGCATCTCGAAATGTGGGTAGTGGTGGCACATTCCGCTAAACTTCTCTCTTTTTAAATATTAATAATATAGTTTCAGATACATGCAAAATGTATATCTGCCTGTTTAGACCACTGTTTTATTTTATGGATTTGATACACCAGTTATATTTTTCACCATTCAGTAAATGAAACTTTGCTCGTGGACGGGCTCACAAAATGCATGCAGAACAAATGAAATGAAGACATAGAAGTACTGATGTAAAAATGAGTTCTAAGAGAAACATAATAGTTCGATTAGAAGCAGAGTACAGTGAAGTTGGAACTTTTCCACTGACAGTCTTAGGCATTACGTATTGCAATAGCATCAACAGTACTTTCATACATAGATTATGTTAGGCAAACTTATGCTTTTATTAGAATATTTGTACGCAGCTGTAAAACAAACTAGGTAATTGGTTTCCCTTCCTTCGTAAACACCTACGCTTCTCGATTCAACAAGCAATTCTGCAGGCTGCTCAAGAGTTCTGCAGATAATTTCCAAAGAGCAGACTGTCCTCTTCGATTGACGTTCTGGTACGTCACATTTACTGTTCGGAAGACCCGAGATGCTTTATTACTCTTACAAGCGACATTCCACGATCCAGAATCGTCTGCGCTTCCACAATTAACACCACCATTGGAACGTCACTTTTCCGTGCTCCGTCTCTTCCACTAAACGACGAACGTCGTGGATTCAGACATTGCAAAAGCGTAAGGAACACGTAAGTAGAAATAGACATGAAACTTATCCACTAACACATTGCCACTGACATGAAAGAAGTAATAAATACATTGAATCGGTAAGTAACATGAATTGGTCATAGAGAAAGACCAAACGTAACAGAGTGAATGTGATTCATAATATCAATAATTTTTTGTATAACTTCAACATGAACCAAATATTCAGTAGTTTAGGAGTGGAAAAACAATTTTAGATCCTAACTAACCTGCAACATTTTTCTTAATAGAAACATTCCAACCAATTTGTTTTTCAAAGGTGAACAATTAGTCCACAAAAGGTGTTCATATAACGTCTACCCCTTTTTAATATTATTATTATTATTCTAATTATATAGAAAAATGGCTTATCCCTGTTCATTATATACAAAAATTAAACAGAAACTAAACGAATTTTAACAACAATTTACAATTCAGTTCTTGGCATTACATGCATGTAAATGCTACCTTCACACTGTAATTACGAGTCAACTATATAAAACGATGGGGTAGGTCATGGTGTGTTGGTTTTCGTAAGTTTTACTCCCGTGACAGAAGTTATGAAACTCGTTAACTTCACCCACAGTTTTGGTCCAATCACAAGTCTTCTAGCACAGCCCGAGTACAGAATGTCCGGTGTCCGGTAAGAATTAAGTAAGCTCTTGAAATCAGTTGGCGGCGTTGGCTGGATCCCATCAGCCACCTGCAACACACAAAAAGACACAAACGTTACACTTGTGAGCTAGCAATAACAAAAGGGCTACTTAATGAGATAATACGTTGACAGTCTGAAACATCAATGGGAAATATTCAAAAGAATCACAAATTTATATTTATGCCATTGAATATTTCTTTGAAAGGTCAATTCAAATGTAAGTTATTGTTATTCAGTGATGCTTCTCACAGTAGTGACATACACCATGCTGATCTAGTTCACATAAAGAATGAATTGTTCTAAATTAATGTGGATGTTCTTTACTTGAAATAGCAAAGCTCAACTCACGCATTCCCGTTTCAGAAATTAATTAAACATTTTCTAGCGATGAAAATTCAGTAGAACCAGGTTATTTTGAACTCTGACAACTCAAATTAATTTTGTTCTCCAATTATCTTCGTTATACGCGTAAAATTGGGAAACTCTAACCGTGTATTAATACATTCGATTACGCAGTTTTCCTTTCTCCATCGAATTCGAAATAGCGAGGCACAGCATTTTACGCTTCTACAAAAGTTTCCAATTTACTTTTCATCGATGAAACAAAGGACAACGAAATCACGACGCCATTTAAAGAACTTTGTCTAGACGTCTGCATGGTGAAACCACCTCTACAATCGGAAGGATTTTCCATAGCAGTTTTAACCGCGACAAGAGTTTAAAGAAAATTAATCAATGGCAAAACGTAATCATAAATACTTATGGGTAAGAAATCTATACCATAAAAAATTATTGCCTTATATAAGGAAAGCCTACCAGCTCTAAATTACTTAAACAATTATGATCTATTGAAATATCCTGAGATAAACGCGATAATCGGTCTACGAAAACCATTTAAGGAATTTGGATAACGTTGGCTATTTAAGGAGTTTGGAAAGACCAAAAGATCTTCACCATGAAATGAACAATTTTATTATTTCTTTATCTGTACAGGCTTTCAATTACTCTTAAAATCAGTCAATTCAGACATGATATGTCGCAAAAGACACGGTATTAAATTTTCGAAGCAGGTGCTGTAATTGCTTGCCCATCGGGCTCGGCGTAGAAAGATCGGCAAGTATGACGAATGGTATAGGGGATGGTACAAGGAAAAGGCTATAAACGTCGTCATGTTCTCAAAATCAATCGCAAAAAGCCGACAGCTTTACCTCATGCTCGAAAGAAATCGTATTGGTTCTAAACCATCGTAAAAGCCTGTCGCTTCAGATCGAGAGAAACCGTGAAGTCACCTCTACGAACTGGAAATGTAACGGAGAATTCACGAGGACAGTGATGATAGAACGGCGGAATTCATTGATATTTCCGGACAAATCAATTTTCTATGGTAATTACTCCCGTTAGTGCTATTAATGTACTTTTATTATCCTAGGAGGTAGCGAGCTACTCCCTCGAAGGATGGAAGGATGCGGCACCGAGAAACTGGTCAGCATGAGGAGAATTGCACCACCGCAGTCGGTACAAGCTCTAAGCTCCCAACCGGTCTCCCGGCATATGTGGCAATGTAATGCATGGTCGTATAAGTGTGTGTAAGGGGTGAGGGTACAAGGAAGAGGAAAGTAAGATCGCGCGCGGTCCGTGGCTCGTTTGTTAAGATACTACTCCGGTATTCGCCTGGTACTGATCGAACAAACCACGGAAAACTACCTATCAGAACAGCCGGCTGCTAGAATTATCCTCCAGACAGCGACTGAATTCGACCTAGCTGACAATCTAGTATCTAAAATCCTATCACAGTCGGGACTCGCACCTAGGACCTCCCGGTCAGAGGTACTGAACCCGTCTAAAATTCCATCTCCCTCCAGGGAGTCGTCACCGACCCCGTTGAGAACCCCTGCAATACAGGACCCGTGGACGCGGAGGCGCGGATGCAGGGGCCGGCGGACGGACGGTTTGCGGCCGGTCGTTCCGTCGGCTGCGTCGCTTCGCTTCGCGTCGCGTCGCGGCAAGTCGAGATTAAAGCCAATCAATGTCAATTGCAGCTCGTTCCTCCTAATCCCGGTGATTAGCCGCGTGCGCGCCATTGTTAGTCGCCCCGCGGCCACTTACTGGCCGTCGCTCTGCGTCGGAGGCTGTGCGCAGGCCTCTGCACGCGCGCGGACCGCCTGCGGAACGGAGCCGCCTCGATCCCAGTCCAGATCCGGGCGAAGCGAGTGTACTGCATGGGATTTTTCATTCATTCCCATGTCTTGTTTTGATAACACTCCGGAAAAGGGGTCAAAAAAATGTTGGATTCATTGTTGATTCTTTGCGCGTCAACCGCTAAGGTCATTCGTCTCGAAGGTCTGCGCATGGTTTTATCGCGGGAGATGGAGGAGGTCTTCACCTGCTGGATGGCGAGGTCCGGCGCCGATGTACGTCAGCTTACGGGGATTTTCTCCAGTCAGTTATCTTTCATTAGAGTGGCACGGCCCCAGTTGGCACTGGCTCTACGCTCCCGATTGGTCTGCCTACAAGTGTGTCCTGCTTGTGAGAGTGTATGTGTGTATAAGTAAGAGGCGAGGATCGGACAAAGAAAGAGGGAGGAATGGTCGTGCGCGACCCGTACCCCGTTTGTTAAGGTAATTCTCTGGCATTCGCTAGCTGTTAATCGGATAAACCACGGAAAATTATTTAACTATCGATAAGAGCAACCGGCTGCTAGAATTCTCCTCCAGACAGCGGCTGAATTCCACCAATGAACTCAGTGTCGAAAATCATGCCATCGCCATCGTCGGGATTCGAACCCTAGCACCTCCCGGCCAGAGGCACTGCAAATGACATCAGTTGATGCCATCCGCCATCACTGCAGATGAGTTCCTATTATGCACTGCGGGTGTACTGCGCGTTTTGCCGTCATTAAGTCTAAATTCTCATGTTATGATTTGATAACCCTTCTGAAACGTTGTTAAAGATTTGTGGAAATTTTACTCATGTTTAAAATAATTTAAAATGACAAGACTCTGCCCATTATAGTACTCGAATCACTCTGAATTACTCATTTAGCAAGATGTAAATACCCACAATACCCTACAATTTTAATGAAGTTTAAATGTCCACTTTTGCCATTAGTTATTTAAAATGGCAAGAGTCTATTCACAATGTGAACTGGTAGATCTTATTTACTCATAGGCAACTCGGTAACTCCCATAATACAGGGAAAGGTATTTCTTTCATATTTATTTTTTTAAATAAGCATATCTTCGAGAGTTAATGCTCATTCAATGTCATTAATGCTTTTATTAATGATTTGTGCTTTGTCCGAGTTGGCCACGGCTCCCTACATCAGTGTTTGCAACAATATATTAAAGATGTATTAAATGTATAAATGTCATGGTGAAATAAAGTGCTTCAAAAACATGTTACGGCGGTCAGAGGACAAGTTGTGTCTAAATAGAAGACAAAGTGAGTTTCACATATATTTTCGGGGAAGTTTATTTCATTATTTTTCCTTCATCTACAGCAATTTTTCATCTACACCGACTTCATCATTATTCATCACCTAATATGCCATTTTTGCCATCAGCATCGTTAGTTTTATAATTAATTTTAAAATAATTGTTCATGCGTTTCACGTGGGCATATATTTTTTGATACGAGTATACACAATACCCAACGTGCATACCGCTTTCCTACGCGTTTCTATACTACAGTTTGGAATGAATTTTAACTTATTATCATTCTTCTCTTGTCTTGAGTTTCCATTTTACCTGATCGTTGTCCTCAGCGATCCTAAGCATCCGACAGCCCCTGCTGATGCAACGGAATTCCTCTGTTCTCCTTATACAGCACTCGTACCGCATTTTGAAACATAAACTACTTTCTTCATCTCATCTGCTTTTTTACTTACTCCAATATCGACCTCTCCTAAATATCCAGTTTTTTTCTTCCCTATTCCCGTTTCTCATTTCGCAAACATCATTCCTCTTCCATCACCCTCCCTTGTTCACCGCAGCTTCTGAATTTTTTTTTTTTTTTCGTCTTCCATTTTCAGGTGGAACAGTCCCCACGATTCCCATCGGTGCAGCCGGGAGGCAAATGTAGTCATCCTTCCCTCCTTCGTACATGACCTTCCTTCCCCAACACGACCCCACTCGCCGAAGGAAATGGCTGTTCCCCGATTGTCTCGCCCTTAGGTCTCCCCCTTTCTCCTGGTGCGTGCCTTGTTGCTGGTGACGCCCCTCTCCCCCCCCCGTCTCTCTTGCCTCCTACCTTCACGACCGTCCCTGCTCTACTCTCTCATCCTAGAGCTCCTTTTTTTTCTATTCCGCCTCCTACACCCTTCTTCTCCCAAGCCCGGTGCCATCCCTTTCGTAGACTTTCCCTTCCTTTCGCTCACCCTACTGCTCTTCATAACACTGCCTCTTTGCTATATCCCTCCCTTTCCTCTCTCCGCACCTTTATCTCCTTGACTAGTTATCTCCCTCTCCACGTTACTTTTGCTGCCCTGTCTACCTCTCCCCATCCTTTCTTTCCTCCATTTCACTCCTGCTTCTCCTCCAATCTTCTCTGTCTTGTCCCTTGGTGCCACAACTTCTTTTCTCTCCTCGAGATCCTCGCCCATCCCTCTCCGTGCCTTCCTAATAATTCATGCCTCGCTTCCAATCTTCTCACTTTCAGGCCCCGACGGTTTTCTTTCTCCTCCCCGTCATTTCTTTCTACTCGTTCTCCTTCCCCTTTCGCAGTCATTTTGAGTTTCCATGCCTCTTACATATCCCGCGCAATCTCTCCTCTACTTCTCCTTTCCCCATCTTGGCCTTCCTTCTCCCTCAAACTCCACTCCAACCCCGGCACCACCCCTCTGCACCGCCGCTACCTCCGCGCCCGCCCCCGGCGGCACCGCCTGAGGCCAGGATTGCGTCTGCCGGCTGCTCTGTTCCAGTCACAAGGACAAAGCCACCGAATCTCTCGAATAACTCGCTTCTAATTGTCTCGCAAATAAAGAAAGGGAAAAAAGAAGAAGAAAGGATGAAGAAGAAAAGTACCGCGCGTTTCGAAATGGGCCCCCACCGCGAGCCGCTGGCTGGAGCTCCGCCGATAAGGAAGCACAATCTCCATGTCGGCGGATGGATGCGGGACGGTCGGCTGCCTTGAACACGAGGTCGCCATGTTGATAAACTGGCTCTGGGGATTTTCGTTTTGATAGGTCACACGTTTTTCGTTATTTGACGACCAAATTATTTACAAAGGAAATAGAAGATATAATAATACACTCAAGAGAAGTACTTCTCTCAGAGGTTGAAGGTAAAATTTTAAAAATTTTAAAATTTGTTCAAAACTTTGCAAGCTTTGCATTCAAAATTATTTCGTTATTAAAATCCTTATGGTAACTTTTTGAAACTCAATGATATATAACCAAAATAAATATTATAATTTTGCTAACATAGCTAATTACGATAATTATTTAATTTCGCGTAATTTAAAATCTTTAGTCTGAAATATTAAAATGTTAAAGGAGGCTTTTGTCGGTCTGCAATATACAGTATCCAATAAAAATTGTAAAAGGAGATAGTAATTATTTCTGGTAGACATACTTCTTATACCTTTACTAACGAATGCCTTTGCTAATTATCGTATAATTACTGAAAGTAATAAAACATCCGACAGTGCCAATTTGTATTAGTTATCCACATAAACATATTTCTCGCAGTAATTGTTTACTGCTCTAAGACACACTTTGTCGTACGCCCAAATCAGAAAAAATGCCTGTTGTGGGAAAGTGCAGGTGAGCCAATGAGACGTATCGGTGCATTTGCAGAGAAATGGCTTGTTCGAGCGACACGTGCTGGAGGTAACCACGGCCGCATGCACTGCGTTGGATTACACGTGAATCGATGTGTTTTAACCTCCATAATGCATTTGCAGGGCGCCACGGCCAGCGGGAGGGCGCAGGTTAAATGACGATGCTGACAGCACAAATTAAAAGCCGTCCATTTAAAATGGAAAACGATGGCGAGTTTGCTTCGATTATTCTTTCCACACTTCACGAATAACCAATAATGACGAATCACTGTCGTGTTGAATGAATACATTAAATTCGCATTTGGATAGGTCGACCAGTTTCGCTGTTTTTGCTTGAAATCTCTATCGTGTCTATTATTTTTAATATAAGAATCTAAACTAGCGCAGAAATAAGCGCAGTCACCCCATATAAAAAGTAAATATGTGTTTCTAAATACACGAATATCCTATTAGGGTGAAGAAAGGGGAATTTGAGAACTTAAGGCCATAAGTTATGAGTGTATTACGGCCCTTTCACACTATAATGTATTTAATATATAGGAAAATATATAACGATTAGACGAAATGTCCTTTTATGTTTTAGGAATACCCCGGTAAACACTATCGATTACTATCACGGTTGTCTTTCTTCACGAAATATTTCTCACTTGAATCACAAAAGCGGTGTCATTAGATAAATCAGACTGATAGAGATGGTGTGTATTAAGTAAACAATATAGATAAAATTATAAAACATTTTCTCAAAATACTATGTAAAAGATTAAAATTCAGTTCACTTGAAAATAAAGGAAATTTTAGTGTTGTGAGATTATTAATTTCCTTTTGCATAATAACATACAATTTTTTACCTAGCTGATGAGGTAATGTTAAAAATGAATGTATACAGACATGATTAGTGTTCCCACGTCTACAAGGCAACTAATCAATTTAACAGTTTACTTTACCTTCCGAGCAAAACAAATATAATTTTACCCGAAGTGAGGAAGTTTACTTTGTTGTGTATTCGAGAATAACTACCAGAATCACAGTAAGGTAGCTTGATTACGATCTGTGTTATTCCTAATTAACGTTGTTGGAATGAGAAAACTCGAACCATGGATTTATGAAGATCAACAAGCTTAGCTTGATGCTCATGAGAGCAAGAGAATATTCCTACCTTCAATGCAAACTCAATTAACTGGATATACATGACCTCCCCAACTTACATATAGCAGCTTCTGCCGAGAACATTCGTGAGGAAACATACGCCATAACCAAGAAGGAATTACAACATCAAATTTGTATCTCGGCTTAATTGTAGTTGCCTTCGAAGAACTATGGCAATCGGAAAAGTGAATTCCATGCCGGACCCAAACTACACACGTTTGCAAAACATGCAAACAAGCGGATATTGAGATCAATTGGAATTGGTTCCGTTTTAATAACGGATCAAAATTCCTAAGGGGGAAACACAAACAAAACTGTAATAACAGACCAGCCATGCTTACAGGTCCCAAAGTCGGATGAGCTAGTAGGATATATTCTGTTTGATATAAATCCTCACGTACTAAAATAAAACCTATTGCGCGCCCTACAAAAAAATCCTATCAATATGTGCGAGTATATTCCGTTTTTTTATTTGCAATTTACAGAACCCGACTGGTTAATAGAGTACTCATAAAATACTAGTCATTGGATCGAAACTGCACGAATACAGAAATTTCATTAGACCCTTTACAAGTACATATTACTCATTTCTCAAGGTTACACAAATATCCCTTAACTATACCGACAAAAAATGTGTACGAACTTATCATTACTTGAGAAAGTTTAGTTCAATAGAATTTCCCGTCAAAATTGTTGTTTTCGCGAAAAATTGTCTGAAGGAGAATTCTATCAGCCGGCTGCACCGATCGCTAGTTTTCCCTGCTTTCTCCTATCAACACCAGGCTAATACCGGAGCAGTGCCATAACAAACGGGTCACGGACCACACGCGATCTTTCCTTCTTCAATCTCCTATCTTCACCCCTTACTTATACACACGTACACTTACATGCACTACACTACCACACATCTAGGAAGACATGTTGGGAGCTTAGAGCTAGCCCTGACGGGGTCGGGTAGCGAGGTAAAGATGGTAGCGATGTCTCGGCATGTCTAGGCGAGCCGAGCCGACTGGGCTGCACGAACAGGGCATGTGGAGAGAGCAGAGTGGGCAGGCCCGTTGTTACATACATGACAGATAAATAAATAGATAGGCAACGCTGGGTAATCAGTTTTTAAAAAAACAACTACAGTTACAAAACAAGAATAAACTTGCACCTTTTATTATGGTGTGTGACGCCAAGATATAGCTTTACTTCAAAGATTGAATATTTTGATATACAAAAGTTACTTAATGAAAGTTTGAATTTTTTCGGCATCTTTCTAAAACTGTAATATCGAAGATAAAGATTATTTTCGAAATTAAATTTGTTCTCTGCAACTAGTTTTTTCTAATTATTGTCGTGTTTTCTGTTTTAAAAGTATTAACAATTTTGGAGCATTCTTGAGAAATGTATGGGTAAGTATTAAAAAATTCTTTTTCTGAAAACTGTTTTTTTTTCTTCGGACGTTTTGTTTTGTGATCGTTCTAAATGCATTGAATAACATAAGATTAATTGTGGTGTATTTATTTGATTTTTCAAAACTTACATCATTTTATTTTTTTGAAAATCTGACTTCATTAATATTTACAAGAGATGAATTTTTATACTTTATTACATTTGTAAGAATAAGGACTTTCAATTATTTCGTATGAAGTTTCTCGAAAACTAGAAAGTTTGGGGTAAAAATGAGCTTCATATTGACAATTATCGAATACCATCAAACTTTTTCTTAAAAACATTTCCAAATTTATCAATAAAAATGTACATAGAGAACCATTTTTTGCCATTCTATTATGTTTTTAAAACCATATTTCAATTCTATTATTAGATAGGCCTATCCGAGGAAAAATTAAGACGCGTAAAAAATATA